AGAAAATAACTGATTCTATATTAATTAATTTGAATCCCACCTGAAAATGAGGTGGGCTGCATTTTATGAGGAAAGCTTGGTACAGTTTTGCATCTTCCTCCCAAGTTAGCTGATTTGATGGTGACATGTTGTCTCTCTGTTTGGAAGACTGATCATGAATAATGATGTCAAGGAAAGGGAATTTTGCCATTAAGATCCATTGCCTTATCTTCTGTCTTCTAAACTTGCCTAACTAGTTTTTTTAAGCTCTCCTCTTCCCAGCAAAGGCACATAAAATATTGTAATACATTCATTTCATTCCCCGTCAAGAACATTTTCCTCATATTACATCTCCCATTCTTTCATTTCACCATTTTGTGCTAATGAATGTTATTCTTTCTTACTTGCATCTCACCTAAATAATTTCAAAAAAGTGGGGGCCTGTGTGTAGTTTTTTTTTGTTTTTGTTTTTGGCTTACCACTATATATATGAATAACAAAATTACCCTTACACTAATCTGGGCATATTTTGAGTTTCACCCATACTCTGACAAAGAAATTATGTTCTGTAAGTTTTAAAGTCCATTCAAAAAAGAATATCTAAAGAATAGTACATACTAATATAATGAATGCTATTGCTGCTGTTCTTGGACGTAGACATATAAAATTCAGATGATAATTACTTACTTTTCTGTTTAGATTTTTGTACTTAGGTCAAGTGCATTACCTTTTTAGCAAGTGCTGTTGGAATATTTGTGTTTATGATAGGGACAGAACTGAGTCGAGATGTGGTTAGATTACACTTTTATTTTCACTCTTTACCATGAAGCAAAAGCCACATTGTTAACCAGAATGGATGTCTGTGAATTGAAAGTTGAAACAAACTGGTCTAATCATTGACCAATCATTGACTCCCTCTAATGGTTTGGTTCAAAAACTACAAGTATATACACTTTGGTTGTACCTACTGAACAGATCACATACTGTGCATGTTGCAAGTGGAGGTCCATTGAAGAAAATGGGGTGAGGAGGGGAGTGCTGGAAAAATGTCAGGCAGACTTCCATTTAGGACTAGTGAGGTAAGGGCAGAAGCTGGACATCCAAATGTTGGGGCTTATACCTGGTCTGCAGGAAGCGGTGAGGAGTAAAAGTTGTCCATGTTTGCATTCTTTATTGATACACACATATAACCCATCCTGTCTGTATTAGAAAAAATGTTATTGCACCTTGAAGAATGATACTTTAAAGCCTCTGCCTATGAAAACATGTCTTTTAATTTAATTTAATTTTTTTTAGTTTTCTTCCAACATGGCTATTTAGTCATCACAGGGAGTTTCAGATATGCTTTTCTTTTTCAATCTGGAAGAATTAAAGCAAAATGTCTTTTTTCTTTCTTTCTTTCAAAAAGGGTTATGGGTAGAGCAGAGATTTTATACCAGGACTTGTTTCTTTGAAAGTATATATTTTGTGTGTCACACAAAGAAAGTGTTTCAATGTCTTAATGATATTAACATTTAGATATCCTTCTAGAGCACTTTGAGGTATTCTTTTAGTAGAAGCAAAGTAAACAGGTGCCAAGAGGTAAAGTGGCCAGTGCCTATAAAGAGGCAGGTGTGAGGAGGCTTTCAGTGGTATGACAAAAGCAGCGCACGTGGTAGGGAGCTGAGGGAGATACTAAGTGGCTGGGATTTGAGCTGGAGAGACCGGCTGGGCCAGAGGCATAAAGCAAACATCATTAGAAAAGGCAAAGATAAGAAACAAACAGAGCAGCCAAGGCTGATATTAGACAAATACTCTGTAAAAATACAAAAGCTGCATAAAATCATTCAAGAAAGCCTCCCTAGAGCAGGGAGTCACAGAACTGAGGCAAAAAACCAAGATGTGCTTGACAGAACCCTGCTACCACCCACTGGTGGGAAGATAAAGAGGAATAAAAGGTGGTATGTTCCAAAATGCTGAAAAGTTGAGGTTCCTTCAGAAGCTCACTTGCTGCCAGAATCAGCCCTCAGACTGTTATATTGTTATATTAAATTATTCTTATAAATTTGAACTGAAAATTCTTGTAAAAATTTCTAGAAAGATCTGAGAATGGTATGGAACACAAAGGGACCAATAAATACATCCTAGCCATTTAGTCAATAAAATAAGATAATGTCGCACTTCTAGTTACAGGAGATGGGCAAGAGCAGTAAAATAGCACGCTGATGCTAATCAAACCTAGGTTTGGATCTGAACCTCTGATTATCAGAAGAGCAAGAGTCACTTTTAAATAACAGCATCTGGATAGTTGTCTGGTTAGGAAACAAATGTGCACAGGGAACCCTCCCAACAAGAAAATCACAACCTTACTTTGGGACAGAATACATGGGTGGTGGATTTCCAAATGTATTGTGGCTCTTGTGAGCCAAAGAAAGAAATACATAGTTTGTTTTCCAACAAGAAATCAGATAAGACAACAGCGTTTTTACAGAGAGAGCCTAACATATCTTTGATTTCAGTATTGGGACTGTGTAGAGACATAGATTCATTTCTTATCTGAAGTGGAATTCCAAAGTTTTATCATTTCCATTCCTCTTTTCCTGCCCCCTTCAACTCACTTCTTGCTTTCTTACACACACATGTACACTGTCTCACTATTTGTGATAGGTAGGTAGGTAGGTAGGTAGGTAGGTAGATAGATAGATAGATAGATAGATAGATAGATAGATAGATAGATAGATAGATAGATAGATTTTTTTTTTTACAGGTAATCCTCAGTGAGGCTATTCTACTTACAGATAATCCACCAACGAGTATCTTAGTGTTTATCTGAACCTCACACTACAGCCATGCAGCATCAATGCCACAAAAAGTGAAGACTTTAAATGTCATTGAAAAACTGGTACAGGAGAACAAATGCCATTTGGGTTTCTGTACTAATGCGAGCAAAGCAATTAGGGAAACCATTTTATTAGGTTGCAGTTTGTTTTACTACTTTCAAACCCATATGATACCATGTCGATTCCCTGAAGCTATTGCAAAGTTTTGTACAGCTATCCCAAGGAGCGTGGAGTCTCCACAATTTGGAAGTGTTCAGTGGGGGTGATTTGTCGATCCTTTAGCTGTGTGAAATGTGGGTTGCCTAGTCAGAAGAGTGGCAAACCTAAGCCAAGTGTAAGCTTTCTTTCTTTTTTAAATTTGTCACAGGCACACCCAGTATGAGAATACTCTTACCCTTTCTGTCAGTTGGTGTGGTCTTTTTCAGCTCTAAGAAAGAAGTTTTCTCTACAGCTAAATACCTTTGCTAGTCAAGTGATGTGTCAGCAATGTCAAGCCTCATGTTGTTACAGACATTTATGACAAAAATAATAAAATGGCCTTTATAACAAAAATGAAAATGGAGACCTCCCTTTCTAAATTTAGGGAACAAGGGCATTGAGGAGGAACAACTGCATAATTACAACTGGATAACTAAGTGGGGAGAGAGGGCCTTGAAAAATAAACAATATCTGAAATTGAAGGAAAAAGTCTAATTCACTGAGTTTCCAAGAACTGTAACACTTTCTAAGGTGGGGGTTTGTTTCCCACCTCTCTCTTTTGCCTTGTTGTCTTGGCCAGCTCTTTTGTTTATACGGCCCCCATTCGACCTTTTAAATTGCTGTTAATGTTTTAGCGTAACGAATTAGTCTCTCATCACGAATCAGGGCTCGAAATAAAAAAAAAATCCTCTGAGGCCAACATCCTGAAATTGGGGTCATTCTCATTTGCAAGGCAGAGAATCTGAGAACCTTAATGCAAGGAAATTTATTCAAAGGCAGAGCCCCAACGTGATTAGGCCCTTTGTAATTATAGCTCGGAGAGATTCCACTCCAGCCTCCTGCCTCCCTCATGGATTAGCAAGCGAGTCGGAAAAATACACAGGATTTAATTAGAGGCAAATTAAAATTGGTAATGAAATAGGGGCAGTAGCAAATGGCAGGGAGCGGTGGGGGGGGGGAGAAGGAGCTAGCAGCTCTCAGGGCAACACTGCCTGTGTACGTGCGTTTTCTTTATTTTTACATTTAGAAATGTAAAGATGGGCAACAGAGAATAAAGAGGAGGGATGAGCTGTGAAAAAGGAGGGAGAACTCAGGCTTTCAGGAAGAAGATGGCAATAGAAATTCATTGCCCCTTGCAATATCTGAGTTCGCTTTTCCTCTCCCTCCCTTTTCTCTACATTTAGCCAATAGTAAGCAATTATGTAGGGTGGTTTGTGAAAGCCCAGCAACTATTCTTAATTGATAAGAAAATAACAGTAGAAAAGCAATAACAATAATAATAATTCCATAAGAAATTAGGTTGCAACACATGGTGGTTGTATGGAAGTTTTATTAGTGGATGTTTTAGAGTTTAAGAGAGTGGTTGCCCATTTGATGGAGTCCCACTGACTTTCCGGAGAACTGGATTGAAATTTATAGAATGTCATGCAATAATCCCTCCCTTCTGTATCTCTAAGCAACAGTCTTTTTCAAGTAGCTGTGGGCACTTGATGATCTCATTGCAGTGTTGCCTCCTATAACCCTTCTTGTGATGTGTTCATATTTTTTCCTGTTGCTGACATTCCATTTCATGCAGCTCAGATCTCATAACTTTGAATTTCTTTAGGATAGTCCATGGGTATGTCTGTTTACTGCTGTTATAAGGAGATGTGTTAACTGGGATTGATAATGTTTAGGAGCAAAGAATTCGTATAGATCAGGAGGTATAAGTGAGCAATATTATAGGATAATTGAATTGAGAGAATTCAACAAAAATCTATCTGCTACAATAATTAGCATATGTTGATTTCAGCATAGGATAAACTGAAACCAGTCCTTCCTTAGAATATGTTATATAAAGATGTTAAGAATATAGATATCATCTTGCTGATGACAGCTCTGTAGGAGGCTATGTTTGGTTAACAGAAAAATTGATTGGAAAAGTTTTAGTGGGGAGGAACTGTTAAATGAAAGATCTTCATGTACTTTGATTATATTCTGTTTTTCTCTCTACCCTGCTTGTAGAATGCTGTACGCCACAACCTGAGCCTGCATAAGTGCTTTGTGCGAGTGGAAAATGTCAAGGGAGCAGTGTGGACAGTAGATGAACACGAGTACCAAAAGAGAAGGCCACCAAAGATGACTGGGTATGTCTGATAGCTTGTCAGGTAGCCTCCTTGGGAAGAGGAGTGCTGTGGTTCAATCTGAGAATAGTTTTGAAAAACTAAAGGTGGCCTTCAGCACATCACCCGGTGACTAAATAGACACAACACACAAAACAGAAGTGGTTTGCTATTGTCTTCTGAGATTTTTTTTTTTTAGTCCTGAGACTAGCCTATACCTGTGTTATTTCCTGGTGAACTCTGCTCTATATATTACCCTGCTTAGCTTCTGAACCCAGACAAGATAAGCCAATGATGCTATCTGCTGAGATATGAGAATAGTTGGGAGTATACAAAATCCAGACTACATGGAGATGGAGAGTGCATGGGAATTTTGGAGTAGGAGCATCAGATCTTTCACCAATATATATCTATCATAACTATTAGTCATTCATAGCCTCCATGAATGCTTCTAAAATGTGTTTAAGCTCATGGCCACCACTAGCATATTATAGGCTGTGCATTCATAAACTAGTAATATATTTTGTGAAATTATTTAACCATAATATAATTCCCACCAAATATCCCTGGGAAAAGAGGTGGCTGAGAGACTTGTGTGATTATTGCATTCTTGAGGGATTTCATGCATTTAGGCTTTTCAGAACCATCTTTTAATTTTTGTTTTGATAACTAATACTTCTGTTTGGCATGCCAGCTTCTTTGAGTGAACTGAACCACTGCACACTACTTAGTGATTTTATAACCAGTCCGCTGTGTGTTCCCTGTCACACTCCACATGTACATAGCAGTATACAATATAAACATCCTCAACCTATATCAGACTTCTTGTTAGTAAATGTTTCAGAGATCCCCTTGCCTCTGTTTATGACAATTCTCTTGGGACTATCATAAAAGTAGATTATACAGCTATCAAAGAAGAGGGGCTTGAGCAAATAAAGAACAGTCAAAAGAAGACAGGCTGGAAATGAGAAAAGAGAAATGTCTCTTGTACATGCAATATACATTGATACCAATATTGTTGGTATAGCCATAATATTAATCTCTGTAAGTTTACATGTTCAGAATAATAGCACACTTACCTTCAAGTGTTATTGAATGAATAGAATTGTACTGCAAACATCATCTCAGCATGTAGTAGCAGTAGTAAAAATACATAGAAGCATTCTGGCACAGCCAACAGATATAAAGTGCCACTAATGGTAATTGAAAGGTGCTAGTGGTATTGCCCAAATAAGAAGGAACACTGGTGGTATTCCAGTAGTGCTTTAACTTCCCATAATTGTGGACAAATTGTTGTTAAATACAGTAGTGACAAATCAATAGTGATAAGCCATTTTTCATTTTGCCACTAATTGTGTTTAGATGTATCTTTGTATAATTATTTATTTATTAAAAACTGAGCTAATGTAAATAATATAGATAAAAAAGAAATATTTTAATTTTATAGTTAATCGCTTTGAAAATCTCTAATAACTTAAAATATTTAAGCCAAATATCTAAGACTTAGAAACAAAGTAATACCTGTCTTCCAATGGTAGCTTTCTGCTTAATTATTTTACTGTTACTGTTTTTTATATCACAGCTAACAGCTAAATCTTGTTTACACCAACGCTACAAATTTTTACATAAATAAAAGATAACCATGAAAATATATAGAGAAATAAAAGAAGAAAAAGATAAAAGAACAAGTGCAGGAAACAGTACAGATAGAAAAAGAAAAAAGATATATAAAGAAATGACTTCCAATCTTTACAGCAGTTACAAACAAACTCATCATCTCTCCTCCTTCTTTAAGATTACATTACATGGTTCCTTTCTTCCCACATTCAAGCTTTCTAATCAGCAAATCCATTTTTCTTCCATTTTCAGCAAAAAGTCTATCAGAAGTTGGCAGTCTTTTATAAGTTTTTATAAGTACTTGTTGATTTATCCCTGATCAAACAGGTCAATTTTGCCATTTCTGCAAATTCTGCCATCTTCACAGTCCACTCCTCCATTGTGGATATTTCAGTATTTTTCCATCTTTGTGCAGAGAGTAGTCTCGCTGCAATTACCATGTACAAAACCAATCTTCCATAAGTCTCTTCTAATTGGCTACCCACATTCATTATATTTCTCCATACTTATCTACCTTTGCAAATCATCCTTTCCACTGTGTCAGTAGATGGCTTCAAATGTGGCATTTTATTCTTTAAACTTCTCACCTCTCTCTTTCTGAGAAACTCATCAACTCTGTCCAACCACAGCTTTCTCAATCTTCCCTTTCCATTTGACCTATTCACTCTTCCTTCATATATTTGTTTTGTAATTCAGCTTTCTTTCATTCTCTCTGTATGACTAAACCACCTCAACTAAAGACACTGTTTTTTTTTGTTTTACCACCTATATATCTTTAATTATCCTATTTCTACTGTATTCAACATTTAAATGTATCCTAAAATAACCAACTCTCACTTCTATGTGACAAACTGATAGAAGCATACTCCTATATCAATTATTTTTTTAATATATAAAGGTTGATTCCTCAAAACAGGAGACATACTACCCATCCTTTTTTCATGTCTTAAAATTTCCAATCTTTAGTAAACTTTCTACCAAGCTATACAAATTAATCTTCTGGTTCAAAATTTTCATCTATGCATAATTTGCAATTATTTGTTCCATTTTCCCTGCATTTCTTAATTTATGCTCTTCTCTTCTTCACTTTTCTTACATTCTGAGTTTCTATCATATGCCATGGCCATCACCAGATGGGCCCACAGATACTGATCTTTAGGGCCCATCATGGCTTTGATCAATCAAGACTCAGTGTTTTTTAGTAAAATGAAAAAGGTTATCTGCTGTAGTCACAGTTTTACCACATACAAAATTCCATGCTAATGGTAAATCAGTGCCAATGAGGTTTGGCATTTTGGCTGTAAGCCATAACTTCAGAGCCCAATTGTACCCCGAGCATGCTAACATTATTCTGTGCAAGACTGCTTTGCAAGCCAGTATAACTGTTACCTGCCTTCCACCACCAAAGACGTATATACAGTGGTATGAGACACACTTAGGATGTTACAGATAGCTGACAAACAACATCAACCATAAAAACAGAATGAACAGTATTTTTTAAAAGTAATAGAAATGTCCAGAATTGTTCCCATAATGCAGTTAATGATAATGGCTATGTTGCAAGGAGTAGGGAGGAAAAGTCCAGGTTCTGAAATTTCCTTCACCTACTTTTCCCCCTTTCTTTCCAGGAATCCTTCCTGATGAATAGTCTGGTGGCATGTTTAAAATGAAGCAAGGCATGTTGTGGCAGGGCTTGGTGTATATTGAGACACCAAAAATAGCTGTCTTCATCATAACGCTCTCTAGATATTTTGGAAAGTATCCCAGTATTCCTAAACATGCTGGTTCTGTATTATGGAAGTTGTAGATTAACACATCTGAAGGGTATAAGTTGGAAAGGGACTAAACAATGGGGGAGATGCCATCTCCCACCAGCAATAAGACATGTTATCACCTTGTGGTAACACAGTGTGTTCTTTCCAAGACATCTCTGTTATCCTACTCTTGTTTTTGAATAGGAATGTTAACACCTGCATCTTTTGTTTACAGGAGTCCAACTTTAGTGAAAAACATGATTTCTGGCCTTAGTTATGGAGCACTTAATGCCAGCTACCAGGTAAGTCTTCGTAAGTGGAGAAGTTTATATGCACAATTGTTTCCATTACAGCAAGCCATCCTTGTTAGGGGACTGTTGGGTTGGTTGTTCCAGCCCATCAAAGTAAACTCCTAGTCCATTGGAACCTTCTATTGTATTGTAGAAAATCTTAAAAACTCTTTCTGTGATTGTTTAGGTCATTATTTCATTTAGTTTTATATTTTAGTATAGAACATTCAATATGATATTTTCCCTCAAGATAACCAGAGGAACCAGATCACTATAATCGTTACCACTTCACTACCCTTGGGAGCCCTGACTCCAATGTTCACTTTCTTGCTGTTTCAGTGACATTGCAGTGTTTGCATATTTCTGGTGTTCTGCTTGACAATAATTTTTAGCAAAGGTGAGAAGAAATCAACAATAGCAAAAGGCAGAATAGATAGTCTCTCTTAGAACTGAATGCTTTAAAGTTTGGTCAATGGATTGCTCCCTTAGCTACCCTTCTCTTCTGATGGGGAATAACGGACTGGTAGAAAAGATAGCATAGGGTCCCAGCATGGACTAGTTATGCAGATGTTTTGGACATATTTCCTATTAGGGAGCTAGTGACATATAACTAATTAATCTTATTAAATTAAGCTTCAGATCACCTTAGCCAATGACCAAAGCTTCATCAGCACAATAGAAAGCTTATATTTCTGATATCTGCTTGATGTAGGCCAAGGTTGTTGTCTCAATATTTTTAAAGAAATAAAACCATTGAAATTTACTTAGGGTGTTTTCAAAGATACTTTAGTTATCTGTGTTGAACTGTTTTCTTTTCTTGTAAGCCATCATAACTGATGTTATTGAATGGGAAGGTGGAACTAAATATTCTTAGTAAAGTAATAAATGTTCATTTGTCTAAATCATTGAATTCTTCTGGAAGATAGGGGTGCTGTTAGTATAAGGCAAAAAAAAATTATATTTCTCAGTATCTAAATATCTGGGGTTGTTTTCTAAACATGTCATATCTGGCTTCTTTAAGAATTTCTGAATTATATCAGTTGCTCTTTGTGTTTAGGCAGCTCTGGCTGAGAGCAACTTTCCTCTTCTGAATAGTCCCACCATGATCAACACAAGCTCCACTAGTGGCATGCTACACATAGGCCATGATGATGTGAGCAGCACTGTAGAACAAGTCAACAGCAATGGCAGCAATAGCCCCCGGCTTTCACCACAGCAGTACAAGTAAGCCCAGAAACAAGGTTTTTGGTTTTTTGGTTTTTATCATAAAGGCTTCACACTGATGAAAATAAATGAAATTTCTTGGAAGTTCTAATACAATGGTATATCCAGAAGCAGGATTACTAGATCCAGAAGTCTTTAAATGTCTCTTACAGTTTAGTAGTAGATCAGTTTAGGGGCTTTTCATGAGTTTATTCAAAATGGAAATAGATCTAGAATTTCTACTGTTAATGATTTCCAAAGATAGCCATATTAGACTTTTAGAGCAAAAAGAAAAAGTATTGAGATAGTATAAAGACTAATACATTCATTATCATATGAGCGTTCACAGTTCACTTTATCAGATGCTTATTTTTGTCAATAAGTAAGCATTACCCTGATCTTTCATACAAGATTCTTAGTAATGCTGACATAAGATGTGCAATTCAAAAAGTTATATTTTCTTTTCGTATCAGAACTGCCCCTCAGCCCACGGTGGCAATCCATCGTTTTTTGTTATCTGTCTTGTGTCAGCATCACTGTACATTAAGAATCCAAGTGAATACTGCCCTAATTATCGTTACTAATAGCAAGCTATTTTCACTATGGTCCAGCCATCAAAGGACAGCTTGGAGAATGTAGTTGTATTACTTGTACTGACAAAGGGATCTAGTTTATGATGTTCAGAAAATATAGAGAAAAGGTGTGTTTTTCTTAATGTCAGAGGAATTTGACCATTGGAAAAGATTGCCAGGAGAGCATAGATTAAAATTGCAATGAAGTACTCCATAGTTCAGTTAGCTGAACTGAATGCTACAAATATTTCTGTTTCATTGAAAATATATAGAGACCTGGATATTAAGGATCTGGAGGAGAGTCAGAAGAGTATTGCTACCCAGCTGAGGAAATACTCAGTTTTAGCCTCTGATCCTCTATTAGGTAGTTCCATCTGAAAACTTGTTACCAATCTCTTGTGCACTCTTATTTCCCTTAGCATTGTGTGGTTCTAATTCTACCTGGTTCTCCAAACTTTTATTCTTCAGCCATCAAGTACATGTGAAGGAAGAACCAGCTGAGACAGAAGATGACAGCAGACCTGTTTCTCTCATGGCAACTACCAATCAGAATGTGACGATTCCTGATGACAGAGACCTGGAGGAGGAACTGCCAGTGGAAGACTTGTCTTAAGGGTCCTTCATCTTCATGTAGGGCCCATCATTACCCAGAGACAAAGCAATGGCTCCTGCCTCCTCAAGGTGACCTTCAGCATTACTTGGTTAAGGCACTTCTGCAAAGCAAAAGGGTTTCCATGAGTCTACCCATTGCTGAAGGCACACCCTTTTTTCCCCTTTTTACATCCCAATGACTCTTAAAAGACATTCAGAGAGGGGGATGTGCAAAAAAAACAAAACAAAAACCAGAGTTGAGCTTTTTCCTTTTCTTATTTTTTTTTAAATTTTGTAATTGGTAAACGAGGATGGTAGGTTGTTTCTGTCCGAAGACTTCTTTGCTGCCTCCCCTCTCCATACCCCCGCCCTCATGGGGATAAAAAAGAAGCTGTCTTGTATTGTCTGCTCTGTGTTTTGTCATTTTCAACTCATATGCCTGGTTTCCACAAATCAAGATTTTGGAAGCATCCAGTTCATTAAGGGGCAGTATCAAAGCCAAAGGCTTCAGTCAATGTCCCCTATTTTCCCATGGAAAGCATTTTCAATAGTTTGCCAGTAATCCCACTGAGAACTTTGCACTAGGAGGAATCTATTCACACTCTTTCTTACTTTCACACATGCACTGTCTCTGCCTCTCACACACATACATCCTTGCCACTCTAACACCACTTCTGAGTACTGGAAGCAAGAAACAAGAGCTCTGCCATGGTCCTAATGTTCCAACTTCTGTTCATTTTCTGACTGGGCAAAAAATGAAAAACTGACCTTGTTTTATTAAATACATTATACGATAGCAAGGGGTCACTGCCACACATAAAACCACTTGGTTATTCTTTTTTCAACCTGTGTTTGTGTCCTTCCAAATTCAAGAAGCAATCTTCTATCACCAATCATGGTTGACAGCCAGCCTTCAACTCACAAAGCTTTATTCACCACAAAATCCAGGGATGAATGTCCATTCCCTGCCATCACATATTTTTAAATATTTCCAGAAGCCAACATATGGGCAGTCGGCAAGCAAGCTAATGGGGCCCAGCTTGAGACTGAATCAGGGAGAGACTTCTACAAGATGAATCTTTTGCTTGCTTCTATCAGCCTCCATTCTGTTTCTTCCATTCCAGCAAATACTGAAGCCAGAAAGCATGACTCCTTAATTATTTATGTGGGCAAATGGGAAGGTTTAAGAGGTATAAATGGAGCTGATTTGGCAAAGCCACCAACATCTAAAGCACTTGGGATAGGAAAAGGGGGACAAGCTAAAATATATGGCTGTAGAGAACAGACAAAGATGGGTTGACCACACAGAATTCAAAGCAATATACTGTAAATGTAAGATAAGTAATTCTTTACTTTTGTGACCAAACACAACAAAGCTATGAAGAAGCACTCAGCTTCCTATAACATCCTTTAGTAGAAATATATCCTATCTCACAACTCTTGTGCTACTCATTAGTTCTTAGCTGTAAGCCAATGTGGAAGGAAAAGTTGCTTTCAAAATGTGATTCCAGGAATTAAATGTGTCAGATGAATAGTGTTGACCCAAACTCTTCCCAGTATACTTTGATTTTTGTCAACTCATTGTCTGCTGCCTCACATCAGAATAATTTTTTAAAAATCTAAAGAGTGCTTCTCATGACAGAAAACAACAGGTTTCCAAAGGCTATTCTGCTGCTCCCCCCATGAAGGGACAACCCAAATGCTCCTCCCTGATTATTGAGACTTTAAGAGTTGCTCATTGAGAAATTGGTTTGGTCACTGTATGACCAGGAATTCAACATCTCAAGGAAGATGGATACAGTACTAATGTTTCTAAAGGAGTCTTTCAACAACAGACCCACACATGCTTCCCTCTCCCATCAGTAAATCTCTGAAATTTATTTTCAGACCTAATTGGGATATAGGAGTTCCTCCCATTATTTTGGAAGACAAGGTGATCCAGGCAATTTGATGTTTTTTAAAATGACAGCTGTTCCTCCTCTTCTATATTCTGTAGCCCATGAAGAAAATAAATCACCACAGCCATGTTTGAATAGTCATATTCAGCATTGATAATTATGCTAAATGTCCTCCCCAAATTAAGATGGTCAAGAATATTTTGTCAGCATATTTCTGATTAATCTTAGGATTCCTTTCTACTATTCTGATTTTCATGGTTAAATAATGCTTTTTCATTATTCCAAACACTGTGCAGCTCATGGCAGTTGGTAATATATGACACAAATCCTTTTGCGGGGGGGGGAGGTATTCTGTATTTTCCTTACATGCAGAATTGCTCCATTTGTCTCCAATACAGTGCATTCTTAGTTCCCTTTTCAGCAGCTGGCAAACCATGATAACAGCCCATCCTTTTTTTTTTTTTAAATTTCTACTCTTAACTCACAAGATTATAATAAATCAACTAGCACTTGAGTCTTTTTACCTAACACAGAATGGGACATTATTCCTGAACTGCCACAAATTTCTGTTTGTAGATGATTGGTATCACATTTCTTAGTCCAAATCAAATTCTCTCTCTTTTAAAAAAGGGAGGATTATTCTCTGCAATAGCTCTAAAGCCACCTGGGTAATCTCTATTTGCTCAGTTTTTCAAATGGATCTATCTCTTGGATAAAACTATGATGGGTCACACTAGCATTTTTAACAAAAAAGAAAAAGAAAGAAATGGTAGACTGGGTGATCTTGGCCAGTCTCCATCTCTTTTTGCTTTTCAGATGATTTCACTGATGGAAGAAGAGCCTTGACTTCAAATCTCAGACAGCTGTCCCACATGTGGTAAAATTTGAAAATGTTTTATCTAAATGATGGCATTGTCCATTTAACAAACAGTTTATACTTCCTTTCTAATATTTCCCTTCTCCAAGATTCTCAGTTTACTAAATAATATGGGCAGATGATCCAGACTGATTTTGAATCTAGATAAAATCAAAAGCAGCAAAAATGAAAAATATCCTCCATTTCTGAATTATGGCTGCAAGAGCAAAGAAATTCCACAATCTACTCAGAAAACTTGTCAGTGCTTGATTCCTGGAGCCTACAGTAGAGGGCTCTACTGAGCATACATTTTTCCCTATTCTGTTTCCTAGTGTTTCTAACAGGCAAGCAAAACTGTAAAGTTTGTTATTTAGATAAAATGAGCTAATTGCTCTGATTTGAAAGGGGCTGCATACTTAAGGGGACCAAGAGGAACAGTCTCTAAGCTGCAGAAAACTGGAGATGATCATGTTTATGGGGTGTGACTCAAAGTACAACAGCTTTTAAGAGCCTCTTTAGAGAACCATCAACTTGGCTTGCTCTTCAAGGACCACAAAGACAGGCAATATAGGACTGCAGGCACTAAGAATACCTCAACACTTTTTGATTATCCATCCCTCAGGTCCCAGCTTTACTCCAGAAGCAGCTCAAGAAAATGTACCTATCCTCCTTTTAAGCAAAAACACACCACACCTCATTTTCTTCTTGGGACCATATTTAAATGTCTCCCTGGTGTCCTATGAAGAATGCTTTGCAATTGGCTTAACCATTTACCAAAGACCTTGCTTAGACAAGAAGCATAAACCAAAACACTTAATATTTTTGTTTGTTTGGTGCTTTTATTCTGACTTATTCTAACTTTTGGCATCAGCTAAAAAGGAAAAAATCACAAAGATCCTGCATCCCCTTAGCCCTTTTGTCACTTTCTTTTAATTTTAAGTTATTATTTAAATCAAAGTTTACAGGTGCTGTTTTGTACATTTCTAATGAAGTTAGACCGGGAACATGGATTGCTGCTTTGTGTTTGAAGTTTTTTTAACCAAGGGTACGCTGTGAAGCTGAGGGTGGTTTGGCATTCCATGGGTCTCTTCTGAACCTACTTCCCTCTTGCTGCTGCTGGTTTCTTTTTTTCCTTTACAGATCAGAACTGGGTTTATTTCATGTTAACTTTTCAGCTGTTCTTTGTACTCCTTGAAATTTTTCTTTCTGTTTTCTGCATTTTTTCTTTTTAATTTTCAAAGGGTTTATTGCCCTGATCCAGGGTTTCTCAACCTTGGCAACTTTCAAATGGGTGGACTTCAACTCCCAGAATTCCAAGCAAGACTGGCTGGGGAATTCTGGGAGTTGAAGTCCACCCATCTGAAAGCTGCCAAGGTTGAGAAACACTGCCCTAACCCCTTCTCCTCCTCTTCCAAAACAACCGGGCTGGCTGGGGAATTCTGGGAGTTGAAGTCCACCCATCTGAAAGCTGCCAAGGTTGAGAAACACTGCCCTAACCCCTTCTCCTCCTCTTCCAAAACAACCGGGCTGGCTGGGGAATTCTGGGAGTTGAAGTCCACCCATCTGAAAGCTGCCAAGGTTGAGAAACACTGCCCTAACCCCTTCTCCTCCTCTTCCAAAACAACCGGGAGCCTGGTCTTTTCTTTGAAGCGCTGTTGGGTAATTCGTGTTTCTGAAAAATGGCAGATTCATTGTAATGTCTTGAACTTTGGGGAGTTGATCTACATATTGCACTGTGTGAAACAGAGAATTCTGAACATAAAATAATGTTGGGCAGGTGTTGCTGAAGTTATTAATAGTTTCCTACAAACAAAACCTCCTAGTTTGTACTAAAGTTGTGCATCAAAAAAAAAAAAATTAAGCATAGTTTAATCCCAGTTATATGCAAGTTTTCTTTTTATTGATTTTTACATTAGGTTGCATTTAAAAAAAAAAAGTCTTGCAGCCTAAAATGGTAAATTCTGGAATGTGTGATGTGTAGACCCAACTCTGTGCATGCACTGAGGTGCTTTTTTGGAACTTTGTCTGATTGCATCACAATCTATGTAGTGCTCTATTGTGTCAAATTGCTTTGCAAACAATTCTAGAACTAAATGGCTATACTACAGTGCTATGGTATTTTGTCCTTGGCCCCCTTTTCTGTCAATCCCTAGTATGGCAGCTGCATTATTATAAGTTTGATCTTCTCAAAGATGCTACCATCCTGATTCACTGATCTCAGTTTTTTTTCTTGCCTGGTCCTGGTACAATATCAAGTGTGTGTTGGACATCTGCAGCTGGACCTGAGATGCCCAAGATATATGTTTTTCTGCCAGTATTAAAGTGATGTTTCCTGGTACTGTACAGTCAAGAGCTGAACTGTAACCATCCTTACATGTGGGGAGAGATTCTCTTTAGAAATATAATTGTCTCTGTTCAAACTAAAACCTCTGCTTTGCTGTTTGGGTTTGTTCATCTTGACCCATTTAAATGGAGAGGCACAAGAAAAAGAAAGCATGGTACTCCGGGGTTAATAAATGAACTACCCATTGTAAACTGAGAGTTAAGTAATGCTGAATTTTAGAGCTAGGGAGTGCTTCAGATTTCAGGGCAAAAAGGTGCTTTGGTGTATGTAGGGGAGCTAACGTAGCATCTTCCTAATGTAGCATCCCTAGATTAATATATTTTGAGTTTAAGGCATTCCAGACAGGCTATATTCACACCCCTGCTTGTTCCAAAGCATATTTTTGCCTTCAAATACAAGGCATTGCACAGCCTTACTTGACTGTTGTTGCAGTGTTGGGCAATATGTATTCAGTAGACTCCAAAGTTAAAACTTTTCCATTACTATCTCATTTGGGGTAACAGAATGGGGAAAAGTCATCTGGGGCTACAGAACTGAGAAAAAGTTATTGTCAGAAAGTTAGTCTTAAGTCTTTTCCACTGTATACTAGACAGTCATTGGACAGGGTTTTCCCCCAATGCATAGTCAAGCAATATGCTACTACCACTGCTCTAAAGAATCAATCCAAGAAAAACTTGGACATTTTTTTGGTGGATATCTGTAATCTAGGTTTGCATTCTGAACCTGGAGCCTGCCATAGAAGCATCCCTAACTTCTGTTGTCATTGTACTGGTAGCCTTCCATTTTTTCTTGAGAATCTTGACAAAGTTGGGGATGTTTCCCTTTCATTCCATCTAATCCATACTTCATTAGGCATTTACTATCGCTCAGGGGAAATGATTTCAGCCCTTCACTGCTGCATGAAGGCAGACAATGCAGCCTCTAGAATTCCGTTTTGCCCCGGAATGGAGCAGTTCCAGAATGTATTTCACTGCTAAAAAATCCTGCCAGTTACAGCTCTTTCCTGCCTTCGTGTGACAGTATTAACATGTGTATCCTTCAGAGGATAGCTTTAAACCTAGTTCTCACAGGAGTAATCTGTGCCTAAGCTTACATCAATTCAGCCTGCAAGGGGGAAGGAAGCCAAGTGACTAAATATTCTATCATACAGAAGCAACTTTCTTCCATGCAAAATTAAAAAAAAATAAATGGAGAATTTAGCCACATGATGTGCTATTTGAAACCTGGAATGGTACAGCTCAAATACAGGTTTATTCTTTGAGAACCAAGTCATTGTGTTAGTGACCATTGAAGGGAAGTGTTTCAATTCTTGGATGCTGTGACAACATTCAGTTCCTCAAACAAGTAGTCGTCTCCTTCCAAATGCCATGGGGCAATGCTTCACCCATCTCCTTTTGTAGTGCATGAGCTTTAAAATTTTGGGTGTGCTTTTTTCAAATGTTTCCCTTGTGTGCTGAAGCCAGGCTTCTGCTACCAACTTGTCAATATGAGATGTGGAGAGATAACTCTCACTGTTAGGTTGGCTTAGAATCTATGCCTGGTCCTGAAGGGAACAAGCACATATCTGAGAATTGGGGAAAAAAAGAAATGAGGCTTTGGAATGATGGATTTTTCTCCAGACTTGTGGCTGTGACTTAAAGCAAAATTATTGTCTCACCATAGTTCTTGTTTGATTTGGTGGTCCTGCCATTCCCAACAAAGATTACTTAGAACTAAGGTCTAATTTCATTTATTCAGCTGGTGATGGTGTCACACTGTCCCAACAGGGAAAAATTGAAGAAAAAAAAAATTTTTTTTTTTTTTTTTTTTTTACAAAACTGACAATGCTATAAATTGAGAAGCAGATTCTAAATCTATTTACTTTCAGTTAAAGGCTCTCTGTTGATTTCACTTGCAATTAATGAGGACTTGCATTATATTTATTTGTCTTGAGAGCTTTGAGAAGCCTACAGGTTTTTGCATAGTTTGTAGGACTTTAAATGTGTTTTTCTAATCCTGATATGTCTCTTAAAAGAACACTGAAGAATGTAATTCAGTATCACTGAATAAATATGCTGTTCCCTAAAGCTCTTTAGTTTGGGGTGATTTTGTCCCCCAACATCTTGGAAATTTGAAATTTCTTTCTCCCAGATTGAACTGCTAAAGCTTTAGTTCCCAACATCTGACATAGCTGCTGCCTTTTTGTTTAAATGTAGCTCATGTGACCCTTTTTTTCTAGTCATGGCTTTGAGCATTTTTTTCCTGAATTTGATTGCATATCATCTATA